GTGTTAATCATATACTGTTTCTACAGATGGTGTTAATCATATAAATGATTGTGCGTGTATGTATCATGTGACTACACTGTAAGCCACATCACGTGAGATTTACAAGTTTTAAATATTGTAAATTATATATTCATTTAATACATGTTTAATTAAATATACTATTACCTTAAATTTATATAGTACCATACTATATATAGAAGTATTGACTGTTGTTGGGTATTATGTTAATATTTATAGAAAGCTAGAATGAGAATTGATTGCTGATACAAGCATAAGCAGAAAAAAAAAGCAGTATTCCCTAATGGTAACTGACCTGAACAAGTGCTCTAAGGACATTGTTCTATACACAATTCATAGTAAAAAATGCATAGTACCTTTAGCACCTAATATTAAAATAATGCCCTGGAAGTGCTTGTGAAGAATAAAGGAAACGAGACTACTTTGGGAAGTACTGTTTTTCTTCAAATGCTTTATGTACACTAAAAGAAAAAAAAAAAAAAAACTTTAGCTCTAGTAATTCCTCTACATTATAATTTTATTCAAATACAAGAATTGATGTGATGAAAGATCGAAAATGTAGCTACCTTATATACAGTTTCTTTTAAATAACATAAATATTCAATGTAACATTTTTTGAAAAACGTTTATCGCAAAATTGTCAATAGTGTCTATCATGGGTCTCCAAACCAAGGCCTGTGAGCTGGATCTGGTCCACAAGCACCTCAAATCCTGCTCATGAAAGGTTGTTTGATTACATGGTAAAATTTAAAAACTATTTAAAATATGAAATTTAGTAAATTACTTAAACACAAGATTTATTGTTGTTTTTTTTCTCTTAGAAAGCTCATTTCACAGCTGAAGTGTCATTTATAGAAGATTTTTTTTTTTCATCACAAGCCATGTTCTGCAGTTTGGAGACCCCGGTGTATATTATGAGAAATAATCATTTTAAAAAGTTTTGTAGTTTATAGAACTTCTATTTTATTAAAATTAACCAATACATAATATTTATTTCGTAAGATTGGAATTTAAACAGTGATATTCCATCATTGATAAAATGAATGTTAATAATAGTAACATATATTTAATAAACAATATTTTCTTTTCTGTTAGAAACAAACTCCATCAAATATAACAATAAGTAAGTTCTTTAAAGCAAATTAAATTCAATCAGTTGCCCAGATTTAACAAAAATAAATTTATTTCTTTGAGCAAAACAAATTTTAGAATTTACACCAGGCAATGAATTTTGAAATTATTTTTAAAAAAATGAAAAATAATTACTTACTTATTGAAGATAACATTATAATAATAAAATGCTAATCTCAAAGTCAAAGGGGGAATCTTTCTTTTTTTTTGTATACTTCTTAAAAATTATAAACAGGTTTAAATAAAAATATGTAATTTCAGTTAACTGCAAAAACAAACAGAAAATCTTGTTATGGTAAAATTATTTAATTAACATTGTTACATGAACACCAAATATCATATCAAGAAAATTTATATTTAAATAGAAATACTATAGTTTTTGGTTTATATCACATTTATAATCATAAGAATAAAAATATAATTTTCAATGTTAGTTGGATGATTGAATCATGGAACTATGGAAAAAACAAAACACAGATGACTTACCATTGACCATAGCCAGAGCCCAGATTTTTAAGGAATCGTATATTTTATTTTCATGCATTTTTTAAAAAATTGACTAAATGTCTTAACGAACAGAATCAGTGTACTCTAATGCAATTAGCAAATTTTATTTTACATATTTGACGATAAATTTTAATTATTCCTATTAACTAAAATGCAGCGCACAAATTGAAATTCTAGATTGACAATGAACAAATCAAAATAACAATATCTTCAATAATCTTAGAACATGAATGTCATCATTTTCCATGTTTTATTATCTCCCCTCCTTGATTGTCCTCTAAACAACATACAGTTTCAAATAAATTAGTTTCTAACTTACATTTTTTCATTACTTTTGCAAACTTACTAATTTTCTTTTATCATCGCAGATTTTACCTTTTTCATATTCATTTGCATTTATATACAATACATATGTTTTTTTATTGATATAATTTTAATTCAAGTTGTAATTTCTCCAAATTTTCTCAGAAAATTTTGTAGGTACATTAACATATATAAATATTTGAGCATAAAGGGAGATTTATAGAGGCATATTTAATGTTTTCTTACTACATAAAAATCCAGACTCTGGTTATAGTATTTCACCCAACAAATGACTTTAATAATAAAGCATTGAATATGGTAAAGGTCTAAACAGTTGATTTATAGACGTCAATGTTAATATGCCTTCATACCCCATATTAATATTAATATAACTATAAATATCATTAACTTAATGAATAAATCCAATACCTAAATAATCCTTTTATACTATTTCAAGATTTCCTATATGAAGGATAAAATCATGTAGCTTTTAACTTCTCTAATATTCATTGATTTGGCATAAACCAATAATTAATAGATCATAGAAATATTTCAATAAATAATTTTTATAAAAATGAAATACAGCAGTGCCCCGATATCGGATACCTCAGTAGTCTTTGGTTCCAATACAAATGCTCCCTGATAGCCTATCAGGAGAAAGATAACTTTAATAATAAAAAAAAATCACAGCCAATAAAGCGCTATTGGCTGTAATTTTCTAATAAAATTATTTCAGATATCTCAACTAATTTGAGTCTATCACATTGTGAGGTCCTTATGTTCCTATCCATCTTACATTACCGAGACTCTACCACATAGAATAACAAAGCATTCACTAAAAATGATAAAATAAACATAATAAAAATGTAAAATATTGAATCCTTAATGATTTTGTATTAAATAACTCTTGCAACTAAACATTTTCTAGACAAAGACGAGAAATTGAGTAATCAATCATTTAAAGACCTGTTCTAAAATATTGGAAATTAAAGCTGATTGGCATAAAATATTCAACTAAATTCAAACCTACACAAATAATTTGTTATACAGAAATTTAACCAATGAAAGTTGGGAATGATGGAAGAGATAATTTTATATTATAGATATATTGTAAATATTAATATTGAAAAAATAAATAAATTTATAACAAATAGTTTTAAAGTGACAATATTAATTAAACAATTACTATACACACAGCAAAAAATAGCAAAGATATTTTGTTTTATAATACAGATTTAGATGATCAAATAAGAAAATAATAAAGAACTTTGTTTAGAGAGTAACAAAGTTTAAAATAAAATCATTTTTTTAAAATAATGACTGATGTAGCACAAAACTTTCACCTTTTAGGGGATTCACCAACTACAAGACAGTAAACAAATGTTCAAAGAACAACAATAGCACATAAAGTATATGTGCAGATTGATTTAAGTAAGTAAGTAAGAGGTAAGTTTAGCCTTCTTAAAAATATTACTTGTTTTGAAGAAAGTGAAGAAAATTATAAAAACAAATAGTGTCCATTATTTTCCTATTTAAAATGCACAACTTAAAAACAGACATTGTGTTTTAACATATTTAAGAAGAAAACGCTGGATTAAGAGCTAATTAATTTATTTTCTTTTTGCTGTGTCTATTAACTAGTAACTGTATTCATTAGAAGGCATAATGATTTTAACATAATGAAATATATTATTTATAGGCCTTTTGGAATGAAATTTTATTGAAAATAAATAATAACTAAAAATATTTGTTCACTATATATAAATATGTATATATCACCTTTTTTGGAAGAAAATTATTTAGACTAAGTTTAAGATAAAATATCCATCATTAATAAAAATTATTAAACATATAAAAAAAATGAAGATTTAATGGAAAATAAAACCATTGACTTGTTTCTAATCAATGTATAATTAATAAAAATTTTGTGTTCCGAAAAAGAAATGTTATATTTTCATTCCCTGATTTATTTTAATCAATAAATATAGTATTTTGCCAGATACTTAACAATTTTTATAATATATTAATATATATATATATATATTATGTACATATTCTAAATATTTTACAAATTTAATATTTAATATACTTCAGAGTTATTATACATTATCTAATTTCCTTCAAGTAATTCACAAAAAATAATTACATACGTATATACAAATCTTGCATTTTTAATCACAGATAAATGCATTTTCTATGAATGAAATGCTAACATCTTAAGCATTAAGTTATATAATAAAAATTTCAAGAAACAAATTATTCATGTTATCAAGAATCTATGATGTAGGAAATAGAAAAGAGTGAATGAAGGGTATAAGCAAACACATGCACTATTTCCAGGGCATAAGGAAAAGATTACCACTTAGCTTTATCAAAAATTATAGCATGATACCACTAAATATTATTTTAAATTTTAATATTGTATGATTATGTATCATAAACCTATGGAAAAATAAACTACCAATTTGATAAAAACGAACAGATGATTGATAATAATATAATGCATATAAAGGAAATAATTTCCATGTAATATAGAATATAAACTAAACTAAAGCATAAGAATGTTCACCCATCATATATGTCACATTTGCTTGTATTACTATAGAATTCTATAGATATGTATTGAATATTGCTAACACAATCACTAGAACAAACTAGAGTGATTAAATTTGAATTATAAAACGACCCCTCTCCTTTTTTTTTTTTTCAAAACAGTGAATTCTGCATTTCAGGCTAGGCTATAAAATTTGTATATTAGAATTCAGTCAAAATTTTAAATGTATGAGGGTGTAGAAATCTACGCATACACATCCACATACAACCACCATTATTATATGCATTGTGAAAATTATATAAGGTTAACAATAAAATTAATTAAAAAAAAAAAAGAAAAATGATAATAATAAATAAATAAAATAAAATAATAATTATAAGTATATACAATATTATCAGCAAATCAACAATTTTTTATAAATTTTTAGTAAGTTTGAAATGTATACAACTTAATGTATCCAATAATGATACAATCACAATATAACAAGATGAAACTCACTTTTCTCTAAATAATATCAAGAACAGCTTAAAGCTGTAACATTAAAATCATAATTTAATAAAATAAAACAGTCAAAATTAAATTATGTTATTGAAGCTTTGGTTATCAATTTACATATAATAATTTACACAAAAGTTAAATTTTTAAATTATAACTTGTGATTGGAGGTGAGCCAAGTTAGTCCTTCATACAAACCATCTCCAGTTGTGGCACAAGATGGCTGGACATACCAATTACGGTCTCTTATACGAGTTAACCCTAGTTTCTCTTGAATTTCATGGGGCTTCATTGCTGGAAAATATTTTTAAAAAACAAGTAATGAATTTAGAAATCTAAAACATCAAACAATGAAATTAAAAAAAAAAAATATATATATAGCATTTCCAAGTCAATTTCAACCTTTTCCAAATCAAATTCAACCTTTTCCAAGTCAAATTAAACCTTTTCCATTTCAAATTCAACCTTTTCCAAGTCAAATTCAACCTTTTCCATTTCAAATTCAACTTTAGAATTTTTGTCAATTTTCGATTTTTTTCGAAATGAAGGCCACTTACTATATTATCGACGGCATAGCTTTTAAAAAATACAAAAAAAAAATTGATTACGCAGTTGCATATCCATTTATTTTAACATTTTAGATTTTTTCAGTGTGATATTTCTATGTGATATTCAATTATTTCCAAGTCAAATTCAACCTTTTCCAAGTCAAATTCAACCTTTTCCAGATCAAATCAAACTTTTTCCAAGTCAATTCAACCATTTCCATTTCAAATTAAACCTTTTCCAATTCAAATTCAACCGTTTTCATTTCAAATTAATGTTTTAAGTTTTTGTAAATTTTATATTTTTTTTTAAATAATGGCCATCCCCTCCCCCCTCCAATATGAAAGTCTATTATTATGCTCTCCTAAGTAGAATTTTCACTTACGGATATCGATTTATTGTACCTATTCGGATTTCTTAGGGACTAGTATTATGCTGTCCTGTACCTAGTTTTGAAAATAACCTCCATTTTAAGATTACGTGACTGCGTTTCGAATCATTTAAGTTTTTTTGACAAATTCGATATGTGGGTGTATTTTTATGTTTCCCGATCAGTAAATTTTGAAAATGACATCCATTTTATGTTTACGCCACTGTGTTTTGACTTATTTAAGTTTTTAGAATTTATCCAATATAAAGGTCTACTTTTATGTTTCCGGAGCCGTAGATTTTGAAAACGACCTTCATTTTAAGATTAGGCCACCGCGTTTCGACTTATTTGAGTTTTTCGGATATTTTTCATATGAGGGTGTATTTTTATGTTTCCGGAGCTGTAGATTTTGAAAATGACCTCCATTTTAAGATTAGGCCACCGCGTTTCGACTTATTTGAGTTTTTCGGATATTTTTCATATGAGGGTGTATTTTTATGTTTCCGGAGCTGTAGATTTTGAAAATGACCTCCATTTTAAGATTAGGCCACCGCGTTTCGACTTATTTGAGTTTTTCGGATTTTTTTCATATGAGGATGTATTCTTATGTTTCCGGAGCCGTAGATTTTGAAAACGACCTCCATTTTAAGATTAGGCCACCGCATTTCAATTTCTTTGAGTTTTTCGGATTTTTTTCATATGAGGATGTATTCTTATGTTTCCGGAGCCGTAGATTTTGAAAACGACCTCCATTTTAAGATTAGGCCACCGCATTTCGATTTCTTTAAGTGTTTCGAATTTTTATCATAAAAGAGTGTATTCTTATGTTTCCGGAGTCGTAGATTTTGAAAATGACCTCCATTTTAAGATTACGCCACTGCGTTTCGGCTTATTCAAGTTTTTCGAATTTATCCAATTTAAAGGTCTACTTTTATGATGCCGGAGCCTTAGTTTTTAAAACGACTTACATTTTAAGATTAGGCCACTGTGTTTCGGTTTTGTTAAGTGTTTTTGATTTTTCCTTCGAATAAAAAACATAATACGAAGGATTAATTTATTTTTCAATAAATAAATAAAAATATCTAATCAAAATAAATAAAATATGTATTGTCTCATTTTTAATTTAATTTTAGTTATCTTTTTTAATGTTGTGGTCTCCTATCACAAAATTATAAGATTTCGAACAATTAGCTGAAAAATCTGAATACGGAAGGTTAAATTTATTACCAGTTGCTTTTCGGCTTTTTAGTTTGTATTCTGTGGTTAATTTTACTTTAGCTTCATAATATTTATTTATTTATTCATACTCGAAAACATATTGATGAAACTTTGTATTGAAAAAATCCAAAATGAAGCCTAATTAATCAAGATGCAGCGGCTTAATCATAAAATGGAGCTTAAATATTAGATAAATTTAAATATTAAAGATTAGAAAAATTTCAATACGTCTCGGATAACATATAAGTAGATCCTTATACCGAAAAAGTAAAAAAAAAACTTTTATAATCCAAAACAGTGGCATAAACTTTAAATTGGGTCATTTACAAAATGGGGGAAATCTACTGCTCCAGAAACATAAAATTAGACCTTTATACTTGTTAAATTCTAAAAATTTAAATAAGTTGAAACGCAGTTGCGTAATCATAAAATAGAGGTCATTTTCAGAATCTACGGTTCCGAAAACATAAAAGTAGACCTTTAAATTGGATAAATTCGAAAAACTTAAATAAGTCAAAATGCAATGGCGTCATCATTAAATGGATGTCATTTTCAAAATCTACGGCTCAAGAAACATAAAAGTAGACCTTAATATTGGATAAATTCGAAAAACTTAAATAAGTCAAAACGCAGTGGCGTAATCATAAAATGGAGGTCATTTTCAAAATCTACAGCTCCGGAAACATAAAAATACACCCTCATATGAAAAATATCCGAAAAACTCAAATAAGTCGAAACGCGGTGGCCTAATCTTAAAATGGAGGTCATTTTCAAAATCTACAGCTCCGGATACATAAAAATACACCCTCATATGAAAAATATCCGAAAAACTCAAATAAGTCGAAACGCGGTGGCCTAATCTTAAAATGGAGGTCATTTTCAAAATCTACAGCTCCGGATACATAAAAATACACCCTCATATGAAAAATATCCGAAAAACTCAAATAAGTCGAAACGCGGTGGCCTAATCTTAAAATGGAGGTCGTTTTCAAAATCTACGGCTCCGGAAACAAAAAAGTAGACCTTTATATTGGATAAATTCTAAAAACTTAAATAAATCAAAACACAGTGGCGTAAACATAAAATAGATGTCATTTTAAAAATTTACTGATCGGGAAACATAAAAATACACCCTTATATCGAATAAGTCAAAAAAACTTAAATAATTCGAAACGCAGTCACGTAATCTTAAAAAGGAGGTTATTTTAAAAAACTACTCATACGATAACAGACCCACGCATCGAAAAATTAAAGATAATTAAATAAATAAAAAAAGGTTGAATTTGAAATGGAAAAGGTTTAATTTGAAATGGAAAAGGTTGAATTTGACTTGGAAAAAGTTTAATTTGATTTGGAAAAGGTTGAATTTGACTTGGAAAAGGTTGAAATTGACTTGGAAATGCTATATATATATATATATAATAGATTTTAACTGATCCAGACTTGATGGAACTTGACTCCACTCAGATCACGGAAGGTTCAAATTAAACGAAACTATGGCTAGTTTCAGAATCCTGAATACTAACTAAATAATAACTTCAGAATAATGAATACTAACCTCTAACAGATTGTTTTAAAAAATTCATACACAAACACAAATAAGAAGAAAAATAAAAACTTATATCAGCTTCATTCTGAAATGTATATAACAAACGTGATAAAAATAAAAGTTTCAAGCTAGTAGTTAACGCACCCAAGCACCACTCCATCCATGTTCTATTTGGAGCCTAGCCTATTTGGAGTACATAAGGACAATAAAACTCCAAGTAAACAAACAATATATGGAATGACCTATATGCCTTTCATCTTTTCTAATGAAGATCTAATAGGTCTGTCTATGGAGGTATGTACAGACCAGGACACAACATGATAACACGTGGATGTTGTTTGAAAACCAGTTGCTTAGCTACAGATACTTGTATCTGAAACACTTTTCAACAATGTTGCGTGTCCAGAACCTGACTCATTTAGGAATTAAATGCTACTTTTACTATTATAGTTGTGAAAACAAAAAGGAAGATGGGTGAACGAGACTTTATAAAACTGGAAAAAACTATGGCGACAAACCTATGTGAGAATTACTTTTTAATGATGGTCGGTCATTCCACAATTTCATCACATTAACAAAATCTGATTTTAAAGAGGTTCTTTAAATACTAAAATATTTCATTACATTAGTTTTAAAACTAGACACCATTTTTAATAATTAATCATTTTTTAAATTTCTTTCCCAAACCTCCTACTATTTGAGGTCAACAAAAATTTAGGAACAGTTCTGTGTATTTCAAATAGTTCTATAATGAGCTTCTTTGTCCATATCATATTTGCTAAAAAATATGACAGATCATTAACTACATTTTAAAAATAATAATATATATACTACCAATAAAAAATAATAACCAAATTGATCAAATTCTACTAGTTTGTTTTCCACTTGACAGGACACCATTAGTGTTGTCCAAAATCGGTCTTGGTCTTGCACTTTGCAAGACCAAGACCAAGGCCGTCTAACTGTTGCAAGACCAAGATCAGGACTGGTAAAAAAAATCGATGTTTTTAATAAAAAATTATGGCAAAATAGTTACTAATACTCGACAATCTTAGTTACTATATGTAAATAATTGGTATAACTAATATAGTTTTGCATTTAATTCCTCTAATTTTTCATTCAGGCTTAGTTAGGTTTCTCCTATCTACAAAATACAGTACTGTAAGACTGTTGTGAGACTCTTGTGCAAGACCAAGACCATGACCAAACTGAGTTTGCAAGACCAAGACTCGTCTGGGTTTCGCATTTGGGCAACACTAGACACCATGTGAAATAGGCTACAGGGATACAAGCAACAAATTTCTTTGATGCTGTGCTACCTGATGTAGCCCTGTATTCCACCAAAATGTTGCTTGTTAATGGTATACATGCAGGAAACATTGATAACAATAATTTGTATTCAGGTCAGTACATACCTTAGAGAAAAATTATTGGCTATAAGTCTATTACATCCTAATTAATTCACTTATCAACCAGGCAAATCCTGTGAATTAGCTCCACATAACTTGGCACTACAACTGAAAGATTCCTAATACAAAGAAAAATTATGATTTACACCTTTGTTGACATCGAAGGTGCATTTGAATAGACTCCTCATGGTGTCATTACAGA